TATATATATATATATATATATATATATATATATATATATATATATATATATATATTATAGAGAGAGAGAGCGTGCACGCATGGTTCAAATGTTGACCAAGATTATTGTGTTAATTTTGTTAATCAAGCTCAACCAATGAAAATCCACTTTTTATCTAGGTTCATATCCATCTTATAATTTAATGACAAGGGTAAATATGTAATTTTAGTTTGTATGTAACTCCCATATCATTAATTGGAAGTTATAAAATCAAAAAATCTCGTAGTTGTTGTTGATTTACTATTGATCTTGTTTTTCTATAATATTGATTTATCTATCTATAATGTTCTTTAATTTGTGATTGTTGAAGGATATCCGATAGTAAAGTTTTTGATATCGTTCAAGCTAATATGGATAAACTCATTGGAAAACAATTCGACAACAATGGGAAGGTTAAAACTGTTTACGATGACAATCAGACTTCAAGTTCCGGAAGTGAAGACAATTATCAAAGCGTTTGTATAGGTAATAGATTAATATGTTATTATATTCGTTTTAATCGAAATTATGTTGATTATGACGTTTTTGTGTTTTTTTAAGTTCATATTGTGTGGATAGCTTTATCTTTAATTATTACTATGAGCTCAATTCATATGTTCAAATGGAATGAGTTCATCGTCAACTTAATTTTTAATGCAATTCAATTCTGATAATCATTCGGCTTCATCAGTTGCTTGTGATGCTTGACCTGTCATAGACTGCAACTAGTGTTCATATATGTTCAGTTGTGTTCATATATGTTCTAGTATGGACATGAATCAAGGCATCTAATGAATTGTGTGTGTTCATAAGTGTTCGTATGAATTTTTAATCGAAATTATGTTGATTTATGACGTTTTTGTGTTTTTTAATAGTTCATATTGTGTCGGTAGTTTTTTCTTTAATTATTACTACGAGCCCAATTCTTATGTTCAAATGGAATAAGTTCACCGTCAACTTAATTTATTATGCAATCCAGTTCTGATAACCATTCGGCTTCATTAGCTACTTGTGATGTTTAACCTGTCATAGACTGCAACTATACGTTCAGGTGTGTTCATATATGTTCTAGTATGGACATGAATCAAGACATCTAATATTGAATTTATAATTTTTGTTAATTTATTATTGATCTTGTTTTTTTTTTTATATAATATTGATTTTTCTATTTATAATATTTTTGAATTTGTGATTGGTAAAAGAGACCTCGTAGTAAAGTTTTCGGTATTGTTCAAGCTATTATAGATAAACCCATTATTCATAATGAATGAACTATTATTCACAAGTGTTTATATTGTGTTCATATATACACTAGCTGCATATCTCAACATTGGCTCGCTCCTGAATATGTTCATAATGAGGGAACTATTGTTCACAAGTGTTCATATTGTGTTCATATGTACACTAGTTGCATATATATCTCAACATTAACTCGCTCTTAAATGTGTTCATAATGAAATAACTATTGTTCACAAGATGTTCATATTGTGCTCAAACCTGTTTTTTTATTATTTATTTCGTGTAGCAGCTATTCTTATTATATTCATATTGTGTTCATAAATGCTATGCAGTTCAAGTTCATATATATGTCAATTTTTATTCGTATTTGACACAATAATTTATACATATATATATATATATATATATATATATAAATGTGTTCATATGATTCTTACATTAACAAAAATAAATTAACAAAACTAATGAGATTTTTTGATTTTATAGATAAACCCATTGTTCATAATGAATGAACTATTATTCACAAGTGTTCATATTGTGTTCGTATATACACTAGCTGCATATCTTAACATTGGCTCGCTCCTGAATATGTTTATAATGAGGGAACTATTGTTCACAAGTGTTCATATGTACACTAGTTGCATATATATCTCAACATTAACTCGCTCCTGAATGTGTTCATAATGAAATAACTATTGTTCACAAGTTGTTCATATTGTGCTCAAACCTGTTTTTTTATTATTTATTTCGTGTAGCATCTATTCTTATTATATTCATATTGTGGTCATAAATGTTATGCAGTTCAAGTTCATATATATGTCAATTTTTATTCATATTTGATACAATAATTTATATATATATATATATATAAATGTGTTCATATGATTCTTACATTAACAAAAATAAATTAACAAAACTAATGAGATTTTTTGATTTTGTAACTCTCAATTAATGATATGAGAGTTACATAAAAAAGAAAATTACCTAAATATTTTTTCCCTTTTGTTCACATATGTTTTTTGAAATAGAAAATTTTAAAAATTATTTTTTTATCAATTATTAATTACAACCGTTTATTGTAAGAATTAATGACCAAAATTGGTTAACAAAGTTAACACAATAACTTTGGTTAACATTTGAACCAGTCCCTATATATATATATATATCCCTATATATATATATATATATAGAGAGAGAGAGAGAGAGAGAGAGAGAGAGAGAGAGAGTGCAAATTGAATAAAAGGTAAAGAAATTCATCAACAATAGTTGGAATTTAGGACTTGATTTGTTAATTTAGATAACGAGGTCAATTGGGAAATCAAAACTAAGAACATAATGTGTGACATCCGTCATTTTTGGATCGTCAGGTTAGCACCTTTATAGGGATTATATATTTAGAACTATATTTTATTAGGATCTAGTCATGTTGATTAGAATTCATCTGGCTTAGTTCCCAAATTATAGTTCAGAAAACCTTGTTTCGACGGGTAACTGATAAAGTTAACTTATGTAATGCCAAATATATTAAAAATGCTCCAAATATAATAAAGTTGATATTATAAGTCCAAATTAAAATATAAAAGTCTCATTTGAATGTCCAAATAATYTTYCCAARAATGTGRAACTTTGATTTARTAATGATATTTTTATCAATATTTGACAAATTATATTTTAGTTATAAATTAAATGGGCTTTATTTTGTTTAAAGGCAACATAAAAATTTTCTTTATGGATTTGGGCCTTAAGAGGCCAGCCCTTTTATCCACATATAAATACCTCACATTCTTTGAAAACTCTCATTTTTCATCCTCATTTTGCATAAACATTTTCTCTCCCTAACCTCTCTCTCTAAACCGTACCCCTCCAACCGATTTCATCTTCAAGCATCATTAAAGAAATTTGTCAATCTTGAAGAATAAACAAGATTTCAAG